ATTACTACAAACAAAAGAAAGTTGTTGCTGCAAACATCTTTCTGATATTTGCACCATACAGTGAACGCAAAATAACTCCGAGATTCATTGAACGTTATAAATACGCACGTGGGTGAGAAGGGAGGTCCATAAAGGAACGGAAGCAGATATTGAGATTCAACAAAATCCTTGCTTGTGCAAAATAAGATGTGAAATTATTTGGTTTCGGCTGTAGGAGTAGATATTTAGGACAAAAAGTTAGGTTAAGGGCAGACTCGTGAAATACTTGCTACCGTTCGGCTCAGAATCTTTCGTATTTATATCTCCAGTCTGTAACTTGAAGATTAAAATATACCAAACTATGTCCGTAGGCTTGTCGTTCCTCTGTGGTGGTATGAAGCCTGAATATGGATTGAAGTAACATGAGGGCAGAGAATAAGTTTAAAGCTATCCAGCTTCTTCTGGGTTGTAGCACCATGTAGTCTGATGGAAGCAGCAAGGACCTCTGAAACGTCGGTAAACTTCTACCAGATTACACGGCGCCACAACCCACAAGACAGCTATCTTCATATTCACCGCTGTGAGAATGCGAAGTTCTGCTTAGTACAAGTTATTTCCCTCCAGATTTAATTACGACATTGAATGGGATAATTCTGTTTAAACTGATGTTGAGGAAACAGGCTGCGGGGATGTACTTGAAAAATTTGGTTCAGTAAAGTGAAACTTTCTATATTGCATGGTTGTGGAGCGCGGGGTTCGAATCAAACTCGATGCTTTGGTAAGTCCGTCTATTTGTGTGCTGCCATCTGCTTGCGTCAGACAGCATTATTTCTGACATCCTGATACAGAATTTGTAAATTTTTGTTCCAATTTTTTTTTTTTTAAATACTGAGTGACTGTCGTTCCGTTATCTTGTCTCTGAGTATAACAAGCGTATCCAATGTATTTTACTTAAATATCCTGTTTTTCTGCTGTATTTAGAAGGTACTGAAACTAATCAGCTCCAATGTCACAAAACCGTGACGAACATGGCCGCTTGCAATTGTCATGATTGGTTTGAAACAAGTGAGAGGCAAAGCAGCGTGACTAAATTTGTGCCATCAAATTTAAACTGCAAGGCTGTTTGTTTATTAATACATATAATTTCTTAATGTGCTTATTCATCTTCGAGGTAACTGCACGTAGATATTTTTAATTCACGTCTCTTCGGTTGGACGCGCGAACCATCTACTGCTGAAGTTCGGTATTTACACTACAGATGGCCTACCACACTGCACAGAATCAACAGTTGTTCCTCTTTGTATTTCAATAAAAGTTTCTTCGTATCGAAACACATTTTAAAACTGGCAGCTACTGAAATAAATCCTGGTCCACTGAGGTAAAATCAAGAATAATATTGGCTGTAAAGCCGTTTTTACCAAAGGCTGCTCGTTCCTCTGTATTTGATCTCGATGTCCGATTAGGCCGCTTCCCTTCACTCTCAATATATCGATATCTCGAATGCGGCTGTTTCTGTACTGAAACCGCCATTAACCCTGACTACTCTCGGCTACTGCACGGACAATTAGTGTTTTTATTGTGCCGTAATTTTCAGACGACAGTGACTACCTGCCCCATCCCGTGAGGACCGCCGTTGGACAAGCCAGCCGTCCCGCTTCGGACACCAGTTACATCCGTTTCGTGGAAATCGCCCCAGATGGCAGTGATGACTCGAGTCCGATCGCCGGCGATGAGGGCGCAATGCCATCTCTTGTCTTTTGGCCTAACCTGGCTGACCTTGAGGTCTTCCTGGCTAAGACCGGCAATTTGAAGCCCTGGAAAGTTGAGACCGGAATCTCAGGGAAGGAGAGCCGGTTCAGGCGCAGTCCGGGTCCCTTGGGTGGCGGTTCTCTTCTCTTCTCAGGGCCCAGTAGCAGCTTCTCGTCCAGCCAGAGCAGCTCCTCCTCGTCCTCCGGAGGCGGGGCAGGGGGCAGCTTAAGCAAGAGCGGCTCTTCCTCCAGTAGCGGGTCCTTCGGAGGAACACTTGGCGGCGGTGTGGGAGGAATCGGAGAGGGAGGAGGTGGATATGGAGGAAGCAGTAAATTTTTAGGCGGAGGTGGGGGTGTTGGAGGCGGCGGCAGTGGAGGACACGGAGCAGGCAGTGGGCTGAGTGGAGGAGGTTATGGAGGTGTTGGAGGCGGTGGACTTGGAGGCGGCGGATTTGGAGGCAGCGGCAGTGGAGCCCATGCAGGAATTGGTGGATTTGGAGGCGGCGGTAGTGGCGGACACGGAGCAGGCAGTGGGCTGAGTGGAGGAGGTTATGGAGGTGTTGGAGGCGGTGGACTTGGAGGCGGCGGA